GGAAGGCTAAGGCCCATTTGGAGTTTAATCTGGCAAGAGATGTCAAGGACAGCAAGAAGGGCTTCTTTAAATACATTGGCTACAAAAGGAAGACTAGGGAAAATGTGGGCCCGCTGCTGAATGGGGCAGCGGTCCTGATAACAAAGGATACAGCAAAGGCAGTGTTATACTGAATACCTTCTTTGTTTCAGTTGTTACTGATAAGACCATCCCTCAGGAATCCCAGACCCTAGAGACCAGGGAGAGAGCCTATAGATAGGAAGACTTTCCCTTGGTAGGGGAGGATCAGGTTAGGGATCACTTAAGTAAACTTGGCATCCAAAAATCCATGGGCCCCGATGGGATGTACCCACGAGTGCTGAGGGAGCTGGTAGAACCTGGTAGGATCTGATAGTTGACCCTGCTGTGGGAAGGAGATTGGGCTAAAGACCTCCAGAGGCCCCTTCCACCATGAATCCTTTTGCATTTTCTTCCACCCTGTGTCTTCTCATGTTGACCACAGGGAGAAAACTGCAGCTTCCCTGTGACCATGGCAGTGTGTCAGACAGAAGTAGGAGCAGATCAACTGCATGTTTCTTGTCCTGCTCTGGTTAGTGTCATTCAGATTCAGGAGTGCTTTGCAGGTACCCGCAGTGAGCACTGATTTTTTTTTTCTTTTCCTTCACCTTTTATTGCATTATGCCCTCTTTTCCACCTGACAAGGTGTTCTCTTTTACCATCCTGATGCCCGCCCATGCAGTCAGCACACACCTATTTCCTAATCTCCACTGGCCCTGCTTATACTTCCTTTGTACATTCATTGGGCCTCTCTGAGATGGTGTCCGTGGTGATTTCTACCTTTGTCAGCAGCTCCGTTAAACTAGCACCTCCTTTTATTATCCACAGTGTCCCGCAATGCCTCATGCTGTTATCCTGTCAGAGGCACAGCAAGACAGGACGAGCCATCTGTACACGCACATTAAGAGCTGACACAAAGGAGCCTGAGTCCAGAGCGGCCTTGAGAAACTTGGGGTTTTGTCCAACATAAACCTCATGAAGTTGTGCAAGGAAACGCGGCTAGTCCTGCATGGGGGAGGAAATGTTGACCTGTTGGAAAGTAGCTCTGCCGAGAAGGACCTGGGAGTGCTGGTGGACAACAAGTGAAGCACGAGCCAGCAGCGTGCCCTTGTGGCCAAGAAGGCCAATGGTCTCCTGGGGTGCATTAGGCAGAGTGTTGCCAGCAGGTGGAGGGAGGTGATCCTGCCCCTCTCCTCAGCCCTGGGGAGGCCTCACCTGGAGTGCTGTGTCCAGTTCTGGGCTCCCCAGGACAAGAGAGACATGGCACTACTGGAGAGAGTCCAGCGGAGGGCTACAGAGATGATGAGGGGGCTGGAGCATCTCTCCTCTGAGGAAAGGCTGGGAGAGCTGGGCCTGTTTCGCCTGGAGAAGAGAAGACTCAGAGGCCATCTCATCAATGTGTACAAGTATCTGAAGGGAATGTGTCAAGAGGATGGGGCCAATCTCTTTTTGAGTGGTGTCCAGCAGTAGGACAAGAGGCAATGGGCAGAAACTGAACCACAGGACGTTCCGTCTGAAGATGAAGAAAAACTTCTTTCCTGTGAGGGTGAGTGAGCACTGGAGCAGGTTGCCCAGAGAGGTGGTGGAGTCTCCTTTGCTGGAGATATTCAAAAGCTGCCTGGATGCGATTCTGGGAAATACGCTCTAGAGGACCCTGCTTGACCAACCCTGGGGGGTTGGACTAGATGATCTCCAGAGGTCCATTCCAACCTCAACCCTTCTCTGATTCTGAGAGGCAATGGGCACAAACTGAAACACAGGAAGTTCATTTTGAAGGTAAAGAAAAACTGATATGCTGGTACCTGACAAAATTCTATTCCAAGGCATTGCTAAAACTCCCTTTTCACTTTCAACTGAATATTGTAGTATTTGCTGCATGTCTAAAATTATTGTGTAATAAGGATCTGCCATATTCCATTTTGGAGACTTCATCTTGAAGAGAGGGAGGACAAACGAAGTTGGTACTGACCGAGGGAACAGGTCCTGTACAAGTGTAGGATGTATATTTTTTTATTATGTGGTGATGTTCCAACTCCATGAGTCTACTTTCTTATAAGGCCAAAGAATGCTCAGATGCTTTATAATAACATAAAAAGAAGTTCCCTAGGCTTTGCTATGATGAATGGTTGTTTGATAAAAGGTCTTGACATTGGAGAGGCAATGAAATCTCCTTCTTTTGGCCCTGAATATTGTATTCGAAAGGACTGGATAACTGCCTATTATTTCTGTCTGTGATACCATAGGCATCCACTGGGAATGCCAGTGGATTGACCCACTTAGTATTTGTCTAGGTACTTTTGTATGACCTGAACATCTGTCTTCTGCTGTTTACGAGGTCCGCTCCTTATCCACGGGGAATCATGAATATAACTTGCTACTACTGTTCTGGGACCAGAATGGTACTTTTCCTACAAAGAAAAGAGAGCCTATCTCTGTTCTCAAAAAAACATTGATGTCCTCTTAACCACACTATAATATTTCTTTTTTTTATTTCTCCCTCTTTGTATTCATGAATTGGTTCTTTGGAGAAGAAATTAGTTGTGTGCTTTGATATACTGCTTTCAACACATCTTAAGGAATAAATATTATTTTATGAGACCCTTCAACAAAAATGACCGTTACTCAGATTGAATGCTGAATACAAGCTTATTTTTCAAAATGGTAGAATCTCACTCTCCTTTTACTGTAGTAAAGGTGCTTCTGTTTGCAGCACTGTGTTGCCGGGAGGCTACAGCTAATTTTTACAGCGTGCGTCAGTAGTGGTGACTCAGATTATATATTTCATTGAGTGTCTCTTTTCTTTGTTCATAACCTGTCTTCTATGAGGGGAAAGAAAAAAATCTTAGTTTGGGGAGAACAGTATCCAGATCAGAGAAAATATTTTGATCTGGAACAAAAGGTCAAATTATTCCATTGGTCGCATGAATGTACTTCCAGAGTCATCTCAGGGTGACTGGTGGCCTGACTGAATTTACACCAATGTAATAGTCAAGTCTAATTCAGATATTCAGGAGAATTCTAGATGAGGCATATGCTTCCCTTCAAATTGCTATTTTTCTTTTTCAAACTCCACAATGCAAAACTTCAGCATGTGGTATGACTTTAATTAAAGGAAAATAACTAAACAGATTCTGAGAGATTATGAATTATAAAAGTGTGTAGTTTTGGTTCACAGCAGAGATGCACAATGGCTATTTTTGGGCTCTGTAGAAAATGCAGTTCTTTTTAAAAAGGATTACTACACAACTTGCATGTGGATCAGGACGTGTATGCAATTACAGTGGCAAAAAGTGAGTGTAAATGGGCATATGCACCTAAGTGAGAAAATGTGTAAGAGAAAAAATTTCGCTTACCAGATCAGAACTCCTTGACTGGCTAAAGGAGATGGTAGTCCATTTCCTTACGTTCACATTCTACTCAGGTTTTTAGGAATGTGTTTTTTATCTTGCTTGAGATGCTTCTGTAAAATGGTGTGTGTCTGTGTGTCTGAAGCCTGCTTGTTTAAACACGCAAGTCGTGTCAGCTGCAATGCGGCAGTGCTTGGTGCTAATGAGGTGAGCAGCCAGAGCACCCGTCTGCTTACGTTTTCTCATTCTCTGTACAATTATGGCAATGGGGATTGGGAAGAAAGGATTTACGTAGGATATGGTTCTGTTTTGGCCTTTTTAGAGCATGGTTCTATGTCCTCATGAAGGTTGGGGCACATATTTTTACTTCCATTTGGGGATTTAGGTGGTTGCTTTGTTATGTTAAATGCAAACTCTGAGATATATCCTGGGTGGGAGGAGAAGAGAAAGCAGGAAGAATAGAGGAATCCCTCCCCACCCCCCTCCGTTAATTAATTCAAGCGCGCCGTGAAATGAAAATAAAAGGAAAATATGTTGCTTGACTGTGTGTGTGTGTGTCTACAGGTTCAGTAGATGCAAGTCTGTATTTAAAAGTAACATCTTTGAAATAGAGCTGATCAGGTAATTAATTTTGGCTCTACCTGGAGAGTTACAGCTGGCTTTTCAGAGGCACAGAAATCCAGATGCACTGTGATTTCTCAGCCCACCTTCTTTCTCCTCTTTAACCCTTAGGGTGCTGACAGCAGTTTGAACTGTATATTTTATACTGCAGTCAGAAGTTTTACTTTGAAAATAATAAGGCAAATAAAGTGAATATCAAATACTTCTTGTCAATTCCCATCCTCAGTTGCCAGACTGTCTCCCTACAGCTTGATGCCTTCCCAGCCAATCCTATCATACTCTCCTTCTTACAACTTAAGAATTTAGGTCATGATTTAGTAATACATTGGTCTTGATAGCAAAGCTGGCTTGCTTTCTTATTCCTGCTTCTGTGTTACAGGGTGCTGCCCTCCCAGCTGTATTGATAAAATTATTTCTTGGTACTTATTTAATATAAATCAGATTGTTAAAATGATCTATGTTAAAAAAAAAAAAAAACTGCTGCTTTTTAAATGTTATGTCTTATCTCAGTCACTTCTGCAATGTTATGTAATGTGATTCCACAAACAGTTGGACCAGTATGACTGGGAAGGGAAGGATATGAACTGTAATGTTCACAAGAACTAGTGGCGAGAGGCAGGAACTTCCTGAGTTATTGTTACTGCCAAAGTGAAGGTAGTGTGCAGTTAACACTCATAGAAAGGATGATGTGTCAACATAAAATTAATTCTTCACCCTGGGAATGAACCTAGGATTGTGTGCTTTTCTGGAGATTGTTCTTTGCCTAGCCATTGTTTTAAGTGTGTTAAGTATAGCATGTATGACATAGTATAACTGACAAGACACATTTTAGGGAGAATTATATGTTGTTTCAACAGTCACCATTGAAGTCCAGTATCTCTTTTGTGATCCCATATAGTGCAGTATTTCTTTGCGTGTTTACCTTTCCCTGAAAACCTTGTAGTTGATTGGAATGGTTTTCCCTTCCTTCTGTAGGTCTCCGGGTGAATGGGGAGCTCATTACTGCTTACCCACAGGTGGTGGTTGTGCGTGTGCCAACACCTTGGGTCCAGAGTGACAGCGATATCACAGTCCTCCGCCATCTAGAGAAGATGGGCTGTCGATTGATGAATCGTCCCCAAGCCATCCTCAACTGTGTCAACAAGTTCTGGACTTTCCAAGAACTTGCTGGTCATGGCGTGCCTCTTCCAGACACCTTTTCATATGGTAAGGTTTTTGGATGAAAAGGATAGTAGACTTGGCTAGGGTAATTTGTGCTTTTGCAATACAAAAGATACGAGTCAAGTTGTGGGACTCCTTAGAATTGAGTAGCACTATGGTAGTACCACAGTAAGTGTTTAGTAACCAGAGGCAGAAATTAAAGTCAAGACACTCAAGTTCTCTTTTTTGGCTTTGTTGATTAGCTGTGATGCTTTCGGAAGAGTGCTTTAAATGTACCTCAGCCTCCCAAGAACTACTTTTTGCTGGTACTGAATCACTTTGAACTCTTTAAATAATACACTGTTCCAGTTGTCTGAAACAATAGACAAGAACTTGGGGAGCTAGCTTTCATAGGATACTATTAAGTTCAAGACTTCAGTAAAATCGAAAAATAGATTAAAATTCTATGTGAATAAAAATATCTGCAGATATATTAGTTACTATAAAAGGGTAGAAAGAATACAGGTTATCATGTTTAACTACTAGCAGTTGTTTGGGGTTTGGAGTAGAATTTCCTTCTAGAACAGTTAATAATTAATATTGTTTCTTCTTCATGCCTCTGGAGTATCTGGTCTCTAACACAGTGCTAGATTAGAAGAACCATCTGTCTGTTCTGCCCTGATGCTTTCTGTTCCGTGGCAAGCCTTAAAATCCATGGCAAGGTGGTAGCTGTTGGCTGTCTGACCAATGTCTTCGCTTGATTTCTGTGCTTTACTGCACATGATTTTAGAGGAATCTCATTCCTTTCTCACCTGACTCTCTCTTCCTTATTGCTCGTACTATGTTAAGTCTTTTGTGAGTTGAACTGAACTCAAATAACCCGAAAACATTGACCTTAATCATGTGAATGGTGATTAAAAGCTACTTTCTAAGGCACTTACAAATGCAATGAGACAGAGATTGAATACTGGTTCAGGAAATAGGGAGAATGACATACAGGAAACTTAGGCCTTGGAAAGTGGGAAAGTGGAGTGACAAGATTTGGGTTGTTGAAGTTTTCTGGATTACACCTTATCTTAGTATTCCGTGTTGCTTTCCTGGTTAGTAGTTTGGATGGAACTGTGGCTGGGGTTAAGTTCATGCTAATTTCCTGCTAGAGATTTGAAAGGTAGGAGTTGATAAAGTAAAAGGGATAAACTGGAACAAGATGGTAGAATTAGGGCATACAGATTTGGAAGATTGGATTGAGCGTTTTGAGGTTGTGGTCAGGAGGACTTTGACAATTTGCATCTTCCATTCCTAAGGAAGTAAGAATTATTATTCCACAGATTACAGGTACCTTCAAAGTCTGATCCTGCTCCATGACCAAGTTCGTCTTAACAGTTAGTTTCTTCTGCATTATCTAAGCTGGAAGGGTGGGAGGAATATGTGGCAATTACATCCCCAATTTGGCCACACCAGATTGTTGGCGCATAATGTTGTTGGTTTTCTTTTTGCCAGGTGGTCATGAGAATTTTGCCAAAATGATTGATGAGGCGGAAGTGCTGGAGTTTCCTATGGTGGTGAAGAACACACGGGGTCACCGAGGTGGGTGTGAGGTCAGGGGTGAGGGCAAGGAGTATATGCTTGTGCGCAGCACTCCTTAAGATTTTGAGTTGCCAAAGAATAATCGTTAAGAAGGTCTTCTGTTAGGTGTTGGACTTTTCTGTATGTCTGAATTCTACCAGCCTGCAACACTGAGAAGCAATTTTAATAGAACTTAGTAACTCAATTAAAAGACCTAGTCTTGCAATAGCAGGGGGACAGAGGTTCAAAATTATGGTGCATTGGTGACTTCTATGAGAAGAGAGTTGAACTGGAATAATGGGAGGTCTAGCTTTAAGGATGTAGAGATGAGCCCATGTGGATTTTAGAGATGTTTCTAAATAGGCATAAGAGAGGAAAACTTAGTTCGGTACATCTTAATTTGATTTTTCTTTCTACTTGACTTTGTCTATAATTAGGATTCTGAGTTAAATAAATTCTCATATATTGTTTGTCAAACTGGATCTCAATTTTTCAGAAAAATCTCTGACGCTATTAGTGATAATGCAGCAGCTTCAGATGAAGTTTTTCTAATGCCAGTCTCTATTTTGGTGTTGAATGTAAAATGCTTCATCAATTTATTTTAGTGTTAGATAGTGATCTACTAAAGAAAACCAGGTTTAAAATCAATTTCAAATGTTATTTACACAGGGAGTCACACCTGTTTTAATTTACTTTAAAATCAATTTAACCAATACTTTAAATAAAAACAGCCTTAAACTGAAGTTCCCAGAGCACACAAACCAGCAGACAGTGCTCTAAAAGGAGCACTTCTGCCTTCTTATTGTCCCTGTCTGCTTGTTTGCACTCTGTGCTGTCCCGTCTCTTCTGCTGGTAGAAGTGTTTCTGTAGCCATGTAATAAATAGATTCAGGAACTGGTTTTAGCTAAATCTTTTCTGGTTATTTAAACTTAGATTAATTTCCTATTCGAATTGTCATTTACTTCCACAAATCTATGTGCTGATGTAATGGAAGAGAGAGAGCAAAAGGCTGTGGCAGAAGACGATCAAACTTGCTTCTTTTGGAAGTAACACCTATTTAAATGTTCTTAAAGTGCTTGTGGAGCTACAGTGTTAGGTTAGAGTTTGACTTTGCAGCAAGCTAAATTAGATAATTTGATAAATGAGTAAATATTTTGCAGCTATTGAGTTTCTTTTTTTAATCAGAAATCATGTAAATCTCTGTTTACAATTTGTGCTTTAGGAGCCCATTTAATCCCATATGAAATTTATGTACAACACATAGCCTTGTGCATTAAGACAGTTGGGGAAATCTTTTTAGGCGAATTACCGAGCAGCCATTTGCAAATAGTATTTAAAAAAATGAGGCAATCATGGTTATAGGTGTTGCCTGCTGAATAAAAAAGACTTACGATTTTAGGCCAATTTAATGTATAGTTTGCTGTTAGTGCAAATGTACCAATCTTATTTTTGCCAAGATGTCTTGATGCTGCATATCTGTAAGAAATAAGCAGTTCTATTTCAAGGCATCATTCTTCCCATCCTCATTTTAGGAGTGCAGTAAGATTATTAAGGGCCTGTGGGATAGCTAAAGTTGGGTCTGAGAGAGAGCAAATGAAAGTTCTTGTTTATCTGTTGTGATCTTAAGTCTACGTTCTGATGCTCTGTTTGTTATGAGAAACACTTATGTTTCGCAAGCAGTGTTTTGTGTTCTGTAGACCTTAAATCCATGTCGAAATGTTCAAGTTGGACTTTGGAGCATTTGTTGGAATTCCTCCTGACGCATCATTTTTCTGAATGCTGCTGCGTTTCTGTTCAGTTAGTTAAACTAGGCAGTTTATTAATTGTTTTTCATGATCTGTTAACATTGCAGCATAATTTAGTGACAATTCTGCCACAGGAATTTGTTGCAGCCTTATTGCAAAACGTAAATCTAGTATGATTCATTTCTTTTGTTAAGAGCCCTTAACAAAGGGGAAGAGCAATTGAGAGATGTAGCTAATAGAGGAAAGGGGGGCATTGGTGTGAGACTAAGAAAGAGGTGAAGAATGGTAGAGTCTGTTTCGGGAATACCTTTCGTCAGTATTAGTAAAATTGAAAAAGGGCAGAGAGGAAGTCTTCGAGGTCATCTAGAAATAAAGGGGGATGAAAATGACAGATTTAAGGTTAAATGCAAAAAGTCTCCGAGATGTTTGCTGGCAAAAAAGGCAGTGATTTCTAAAAGAGTTTTTTTTTTAAAGTTGAATTACTTTCACTTATGTGTTTAGTGGAATATTCTACTAAATTTATCTCATACCAGATACTTTGGAGTCTCTTTGTAAAGCCTCATTCTAGAGTTGTGAGTTCTTGCAGGTATCAGAAAGAGCAGCTCTTGGTCACTCCAAGTAGTAAAGCAGTTCTGCCGCGGCACACTAATGACTTAAGAGTAGAGGTGTTTTTTTTTTTTCCCCTCTGTTTTGTGCAATTGGTTCTTGTGTGTCGAAGTAGTAGGCTGTGGTTCCCAGTTTTCTTGGATGAGTAAGCTGTGCAATTAAATTTCTGCTGCTCTTTTAGTATTTCTTCCATTTTTTCTCTCTAAAAGGGGTTGAAATCACAGGTCACTTGCTTTATCTAAGAGCCCTATTTATTTGTTTGTATTTTAATACTTACTGGCTCCTCAACTCTTTCAGTACTTTGAACACTGAGAAGCACTGAAGCAGTGGAACACTGATCTCTACAGAAGAATGTGTAAATGGGTTTTAACTACAGATAGGGCATGTGAGAATGGGCAGCATACTGGTCAGATTTTTTTACTTGTGCAGAATCAGCAACGTGGATCCAAATTGGTAGCTTCTTCCAATCCCACAATGTTCTTTCTTCATACAGGCAAAGCTGTGTTCCTGGCAAGAGACAAGCACCATTTGGCAGACCTGAGCCATTTGATCCGTCACGACGCCCCTTATTTATTTCAAAAATATGTTAAAGAGTCCCATGGCAAGGATGTACGAGTTATCGTAGTAGGAGGCCGTGTGGTGGGCACCATGCTCCGCTGCTCAACAGATGGGAGGATGCAGAGTAACTGCTCACTTGGTAGGAAAAGTATTGTTTATAGTTTTGATCAGAACTTGTGAATGCAGTGGGACTGAAATGACAAATTCAACTGAAATAAGCTGCAGGATTTGTTTTGTATTTATTGTGCTTACAGTAGGAGGTTTACAGAGGGAAAAATGAGAGTGAGGATTAAGTGAGAAGGGCATTGTGTAAACATGGAATGAGAGATAATGTCTGCCCCAAAGTGGGCAGACATTTAGGACAGACAAAAGGGAGGGGAGAGCTGTAAGAACACGCAAATAGAGCAAATGCTAATGTCATGCCAATGCCACGTTATTGTTGATTTAATCCTGTTTTAAAAAAAAGGAAGAAAAAAAAAAGACAGGGGAGGGAAAGGAGAGAGCCAGTTGGCAAGATGATAATGTTAAGAGAGAAAACTGTTGAAGGCAATCTGTCTTAAATATGCGTCCTTTCTTGGATTGTATTATGCAGCTGCTGTGTTGGCCTCAATCTGTCTGGCTCCTCCCTGCAGCTTTTTTCCTCAGGACTGTGTCTGGGAGGAAGAGGAAGTTACTGCATAGATTGTAGTATGCTCAGAACTGAGTTTCTGCATAGCTTTGAGTGTAGGAGGGAGGGTTTTCTGAGGGCAGGAGGAGGGAAGGAAGAATTGGACTTGCCTTGACTGGCAATTTAACTGAAGCTGTGCTAGATAGACATGAGCAAGTATAGGATAAAATGTGTACATGTGTAGTACAGTTTTGGTTAGTCAAAATGCTTGAGAAATTTTTGCTACTCCTTTCTTTATTTTGAGCAAATGTAGCCTGAAAGATTTCTCTGTTAAATGTTTTTTTAACTTCACTATTGTAACAGATGAAGTCTGGGAAGGTTAGTACTTAGATGATGGGCTGTGAACTGGAGCAACTGAGGTTCAGACCCAAGTTTTCCAATAGGGCAGTAACCTCTGACAGGAAGGTGTGAGGTACACAGCAGATGGTAATGTCTTAAGCCCACCCCCCCAGTTACATCTGCCAGAGCTGTAGTCATATCAGGAATATTTTATTTAATTTTACTGAAAGGTTTCTTTGAGAACTTAGAAATACATATTCACAGCCTCTACGTTACACGAAGAAACAAGGGCGATTTTATGTCAACCTGTATTGTTCATTTTTCTTGCTTCTTATGCCATTTGCATCATTAGTTTTCTGTAACAGGGAGACTGATCCTAAAAAAGGGAAACAAATGCCCTTTACAGAATGACAAGGTGGTTAAAATTGTTTCATACCACTGTCCTAAAGTAAGAAGGAAAGAAATTTTTGTCTCTTTGGTGATTGATTTGTTAGGTTATCTTTTTAATGGCCTTCCTTCTTGACTGGAAAAGTCATCACACATCGTTTTTTAAACAAGTCATAAAATCATCATAAAATGAGTACTTTCAGTAGGTCAGAATCTTTTGAAATCCTGATGGATCTTTAAGATCATTAGTAGCCTGTGTCAGTCCCTTTCTGAGTCATTAGCAATATGCTTGCAGGTCCTTTGATTGCTTTGGAGGTTCCCAAACAAAAATCACTGGCCTGTCAAGGAGGAGGTCACCTGTGACCAGATCATAGACAGTGAGTTTTTTTTCACTTTTTCCAGGTGGTGTAGGTATGATGTGCTCACTGAGTGAACAAGGCAAGCAGTTGGCAGTCCAGGTGTCAAACATCTTGGGGATGGACGTGTGCGGCATTGACCTACTGATGAAGGACGACGGTTCATTCTACGTCTGCGAGGCCAATGCAAATGTAGGTTTCATTGCCTTTGACAAGGCTTGTAATCTAGATGTAGCTGGTATCATAGCGGACTATGCCGCTTCTCTCCTTACCCCCGGTCGCTTGACGCGGCGCATGTCCTTGCTCTCCGTGGTGTCCACGGCAAGCGAGACTAGCGAGCCAGAGCTGGGCCCTCCAGCTAGTGCCGCTGTCGACAATATGAGTGCTAGCTCCAGCTCTGTCGACAGCGACCCTGAGACCACGGAGAGAGAGTTGCTCACCAAGCTCCCGGGGGCTCTATTCAACATGAACCAGCTATTAGCCAATGAGATCAAACTTCTTGTGGAGTGATGCCACATGTAAATACATGACCAACAAAACTCTCTCTTGTAAATTTTTTTTTTAAAAACCAACTTGCAATGCTGTTTATCAGAGAAGCTCAGAGAAATGGAGGGGAGGGGTCAATCAAGGGAGCAAGATTAAAGGCATGTATTCTGAGATTGCCCCTACTTTTTTGTGTTGCATAAAATTGTTTTAATTCTTCAGCATCATTTTTTTTTATTGAAGATGCTCAGTTCACAGCCTGAATGGAAATTTTATTTGGGTGCTGCTTTGGACCCCAAACGTATTGCAGTGCATGTGTGTTCACAGGAAAGCATTAAAGCATGAGTTACACTTCAGAAAAGCTGTCTAGCAGCTCTCTAGAAACTTCTGTGCACCAGCTAAGCCTCTTCTACCTCTGTAAGGCTTGATTCTGTAAGTTGCTGAGTGCCTCTAATTTCAGTGAGAGTTGACAATGTTTAATACCAGATATTTCAAAGTTCCTGGACGCCTGCTTTTCTGACTCTAGTAAGTGGGAGCTGTTAAGTTCAGCATCCTGTTACGGTCACCCCTTTTTGACTTTGTGGGATATGGCCCTTTAAATGATGAGGCAGAGAGAAGTGTCAGTTCACTGAACTTGAGCTTTCAGTACAGTCTGTAACTTCTGCCATCTTGCCATGTTTTGTTTATAAAGCTTTTGAAGGAGGATTTTTAATATTTGTGTTTTTCTCATTTCAAATCTCTGCTTTGGAAGGT